TTGAATAGAATATATATTTAACTTATCTAGTATAGTGCTCAAGTGCAGGCTCTCAAAAACAGCAACACTTAAAATATCTTCCATAGTATTCAGTATAAACTCAGAAACATGTTGAACATTTTATAAATATGTGTGGGTTGACTTATTCAATTGTGTAGATTTCAAAAGAGCTAATGCAAATGTCCATTTTACTTTATGGAGAATGTGCAGATCTTTTACCAATATCTCAAGATATCACCACGAGTTGATTATTCACTCAACTGCTTTGGTCTCTGCACCCTACACTTGCCTCCTCAAGGGCATTGCTGTGTATGTGTTTATACACTATTCCTGGATTCTCACTTTACTATAGCTGCACTCATTGCAACTGCACATTCTGCCTTAGTTCAAAGGCACTGAACTCTTGTAAGGATGAATGACCTACATGTACTATTGATGTCTTGCTTAGTTCTTACAACAGTTTCCCAGTCATGTAATACCTGCTCTTTGATTCTCCTACCGGCATGTATGGGTTAGTGCCGCTGGAATTCTGCAGAGGGCAGACTGCCACAGGTGGTGTGAATGAGATGTGTACAAAGTGAGAAGAGGAACTGACAGAAGAAATCTCTTTCCCATTAGTACTTCTAGGAAAAAAAAAATCATTGCTCTTCCCTAAGAAATTAATTAAATAGGAATGACCTAGGTCAATTTTACCATAGAACTGACCTGCCCAAGTAAGCCCCGGTAGGGATAATTGGCAATGAATCAGTCACCAAAGAGCATCACTTAAAAAGAAACACAACCAATGGGGATCCAAAGGCCAGCCTCGGCAACTGGCCATGGTGCTGAACCCCTCTATTCTAATATCCTGAATTGTTGAATTGTAAAGTCCGATTATATAAGGGACACACACTGGAGAATCATCACTAAAAGTTGCACCACTGGAGCCTCCATGGAATCTGGGAAGGAAAACTATCTCTTCATTGGCCTAGGGCCATCCTTTAGACCACTAATTTGGATTTTCAGATTCTTCCTCCTTCCTTCTTTCTCTTTCCCTCCTCCTCCCCTTCCTCCCTCCCTCTCTTCCTCCCTGCCTCCTTCTTTCTCTGTCTCCCTCCCTCTTTCTCTCTCTGCCTCTCTCCCCCTCTCTCCCTTTCTTCCCTCCCTCTCTCTCTCTTTCTCTCTCTCTTCTTCTCTCCCTCTTTCCCTCCTCCTTCCCTCCCTCCCTCTCTGCCTCTCTCTCTCTCTCCCCTCCCTACCCTCCTTTTCACATCCTTTCTTTCCTTTTATTATTCATTCATTTCTTTAAAAAATAAAATATTAAAAGATAAACATAAGCTAATCAGAGAAAGACAATTTTCATATGATTTCACTCATATGTGGAATTTAAGAAACAAAACAGGTGAAACATAGGGAAAGGGAGGACAAAAATAAATAAGACAAAATCAAAGAGGGAGAGAAACCATAAGAGACTCTTAACTCTAGGAAACAAACAGAGGCTTGCTGGGGGATAGGGTAACTGGGTGATGGGCATTAAGGAGGGCACTTGATGTAATGAGCACTGGGTATTATACACAACTGATGAAACACTAAACTCTACCTCTGAAACTAATAATACACTATATGTTAATTAATTGACTTTAAATGAAAAATTTTTTTTAAAGATTTTATTTATTTATTTGACAGGGACAGATCACAAGTAGGCAGAGAGGCAGGCAGAGAGAGAGAGAGAGAAAGAGAGAGGGAAGCAGGCTCCCTGCTGAGCAGAGAGCCCGATGCGGGACTCGATCCCAGGACCCTGAGATCATGACCTGAGCTGAAGGCAGCGGCTTAACCCACTGAGCCACCCAGGTGCCCTAAATGAAAATTTTTAAAAAGATAATCATGATCATGAATACTATGAAATCTTTCCATTTTGGAAGTTGCATGGCAACATGGAAAGAACATGAATTTTGTATAATATGTAAAATTTCATATAAATAACTAAGAAAAACATTTAAAAAATATACCAAAATGTCAATAGGAGAGATGACTGTAGGATTTCAGGTGACATTTTTTTTGTTTTCCTTAAATATAATTATTTTTGTTTAATTCTTCAGGTTTTCTAAAACTGATATATAGTTAATAATCTGAAGAAAATAGTAAAAAATGATTAGATATAACTACATTTTAAAAGTGGTCATGCCTAATAACTAGCTGTGTAATTCAAAGAAATGATTTATCCTTTTTGAGCCCAATATTCTTTATAGGTAATTTGGGGCTAATATTCATTTACCTAACTGGGCTGCTTTGAGGATTGGATAGGATACTAACACACCATGGGGATTCTGTAAATATCAGGGCGACATCATAGAGAGAGAGGCTCATGGGGAGGCCAGGAGCACAGTCTTGGGGTGAGCATGCCCAACAGTAATAATGTGTATTGTGTCAAGCCCTAGTATTTGAGATGGAAACACCTTTTTCCATTGTACTCTTTGTACCTTGAGTACCTACATTAGGAAGGTGCTTTCCTAACTTCTGGAGCTAGAGCAGTGAACAAATCTTGTCTTTACTTTGTGCAACCTACATTACAGATTTTATATAATGAGAAAAAGCAATTATCATCTTCCTTTCCCCTTAACTTAGTGCTTTCAGAGATCTGGTGGCTCTTTCTGAGGTATGAAGGGTTACAGAAATGATATATGCCAGTGTCTCTCTAGAGAAGAAACGTGAAGATTAATACAAATTTATAAGAAACCTAGGTGGCTGCTTCAAACAGGTAAGTACAGGGAACACTCAAACTCACAATATTTCACTTTCCAAACAGATGAAAGAGATGAAGAAATTCTCAAACTATGCATAATACTGAGAGAACATATTCTTACTACTTAATCATTCACTAAATGAGGTTTTACTTTATCACCACATGATTAGAAATACATGGAACATGGAATCTGGGAGGGAAAAAAAGACTTTTATTTTCCATGTATCGCAGCAAGGAGCAGGTCCTATTCATTTTAAATACAATTTCCCTTCAGGAAGACTGAAATAGCACAGAATATAGGACATTCAGATATTGTTTTTCTTTTTAATAAATGAAGAATATTAAGAGCTTCTCTTTTTGATACTTCACTATGTTTACTTATTGATAGAGAATATTCATTTATATTATTTTTGGTTTTCATGCCCAAGCTCCACAAGATAGTTATTCCTTAGCCCCAGATTATATATAAGTAAATGGAGTCTTCTGAGTTATGCAGCTTTCCCCATAACAAATAGTTAGCACATGTCTACAATTAAAATAGGTGTTGCATGACCACACCTCCTCCTTTCCATCATGCAATACTGTGAATGAAACTGGTTTAAAACATCAGATGATGCATGTTGGAGCAGACCTTTGGAGGGGGAATGGCATATCTAATTAGGAACATAAATCACAGTAACTGGAAAATTCGGTGTTACTAGCAGAAGACACCTGCTCTGCCATTGACAAGTAACCATAACTTCACTCACAATGCACAATGCTCTCTGAGCCATATGCAGTTACAGGACTGCACTCCATTCATCCATATCCCCTTTCTGAAAACTGAAGGTCAGGTAATGAACTGATGCATTTTTACTGAATATTTGTATGCTTACCCCTCAGTTAATTCATTGATAAGTTGCTTCTTTAGGTATGTTAATACAATTAATCATGGTATTAGTAAATCCCCTTACTGCTCTCTTCTGGGTAAAATTCTGCTTCTAAAGATGCCTTTGGTTTATATTTAATCTAATGCATTAGATGTCAATTTTATAAATTAAAGGATTCCATATGTTCTCCCTGACAATGTTCACCATGGTGGCTAAGAAGGTACTCAGAAATGCCTCAAAATAAAGACTTTTGTTTGGTTTTTGAGGTGAGTCAACACTAACTTTCATTCTTATGTCTCTCCTTCTAATTATAAAAATATACTTATCTGATATTTTATCCCAGTTTTCCATGCAACCTAAAGTTACAAACTCAATTCTGCTATAACTGTCCTTCTTTACTTTGATACCAAATAGTTAGTGGCAATTCTCTTCCACAAGTATAATATTCACCCCTAATATACTAACAAAATCAGTGAGAGGCAGGGAATCATTCTCATAAAGAATGACACTTCCTTTTTCTTCACCTTGGGTGATCTCTCTATTTTGTTTGTTTCTTTTTCTATGGGAGCACTTTTTGGTTTGCCTTTGCACATTTGGGAATTCTGCCCCCTGCCCTCAGCAGTTGGTTCACTCTACCTTCAAAAGTACGGTTGAGCATATAAAGGAGGCTGAGCCCTTCTTTCTCTTTCCCTGGAATAAGAAGCTGATTACTATGATAGACTACCTGTGGTGAGGCAGGTCATGCTGGGTACCAACCCATAGGGGGAGGATGGTGTCCTAAATACACAGAAGGCAGGTCATTGTACTAACTTAACTGGCATTCGGCAAGTCTAGGGCTCACCCTAGCACAACAAGAGATGTAAAAGAGAGTGTTTCCCCTTAACAAGATATGGGAATGAGCAAAACATAGACTTTCCCACTATACATATGACCCTCTCTCTTCTTAACCAAAATATAAATAATAATAATAATAAACTAAATAAATTAAAATATGTCTTCTCCACTTTTCCCTGGGGACTGAATTTTCATAAACGTACTCATCAGAATAGAATGTGAGCAAGCTTCATTAAAATATGTGTGCATGTGTATTAAACTTGCTCAAGTTAAATTGTATTAAAAAAGATACACAGATAAATATGTAGGTAGATAAATAAATACATATATATAGCAATGAGCTTGTAGTGATTCCTACCCACCAATATTATCTTGTTTCAAAGAATGCTATCCATGGCTTAACTATTTCACAAAATGTTTATTTTTTCTTCTCCAATATGTAAAAGGGGAAAATGTCACTCAGATTATATTTCAGCAACTCCCACCTAACATACAAGGGCAATAAGAAATTGTAACCCACCACAAAATAGAGTTCCTGATAGTTTGACATGGAAAGGAACAAAGCCTGACCCTACCCAAGTTGAGATGCAGGGCTAGCCTTCCCTTCTGGAGCTCCAGGGTGATATGGTCTCCACGTTGACCTTCTCCATGGAAAAGAACCCCATCTCCTTGCATGCTCTTGAACTTCAGAGAGATCACATCTTTGAGAGTGCTCATCAGCTTCTGATTGAACCTATATAGAAGGGAGCTTCGGCCATCAAAGTCAGCAACATCTGATTCTGGGAACAGGGAGAAGGGAGAGGGAGAGAGAGATCAGTGCATATCCTCATAATTGCTCTTCGTGCTTCTCATCCAATTTATAGGAATGTTCTTGATATTTGGAAGGTCCCATCTCAACAGAAAGCATATGGACTAGACCCAACCTAATTAGACTCAAGGGGATTATTCATTTACAAGCAGGCGTCACACATTGAGTCAAGGTGAACTGATCATTAGCAACTGATCATTAGCCTGGAAGTATAACCCTGCTTTAGTGATATATCATATTTTGCTTGATGGTACAGCATAAGAATACCACAAATACCTATGTCAGGCTCTATGGTGTCAGATGCCTGGTAGTAATAATATCTCATGATTTATCTTCATTATTAATTTGCTTCTGATAGTTGGAGCCATTTGATTCCCTCATCTCAGGTTCAAGGTTAGAGATGAAAAATATAGTCTATTATTCCACATCTAACTGGATAGTACTGTCTTCATAGAACCTGTGTTGGAGAAAGATCCTGAGGTCTCCTTTGAGTTTAGTGGAAAAGAATGTGCAGTAGAGAAAGACTTGGTGTTTGTACGGGGAGGGCAAGTATATTTTAACCTTACCATCCCTACCTATCCTGTGTTAGTGATATATATCATTTTATTTTTTATATGTAAAAATATTTAATTATTATTGTTAAACAAAAAAATAAATAAATAAAGTCAAGTAATCATGACCTAAGTCAACTTATTTAGTGGATATGTATAAACATACCTGAAAATTGTATGCCAAAATATTAACAGAGGTTCTCACCTCACTGGAGAATATATAGAGATGGCAAATAAGTATATGAAAAGATGCTCCACATCATGATATTAAAAAAATACAAATTAAAACAGTAAGAAGATGCTACTGTATACCTATTAAAATGCCCTAAATTTGGAACACTGAGAACAAAAAATGCTGGCGAGGTGTAGTAACAAGAACGCTCATTCATTCATGGTAGAGATGCAAAATGGAGCAGCCGCTTTGGAAGACAATTTGGTGGTATCTTACAAAACGAAACATACTCTTAAACTATCCAGCAACCTCACTGCTTGGTATTTACACAAAGGAGTTGAAAACTTATGTTCACACAAAAATCTGCACATGGATGTTTATAACAGCTTTATTCATAATTGTCAAATCTTAGAAGCAACCAAGATGTCCTTTAGTAGGTGGATGTATAAATAAACTGGTACATCAAGACAGTGGAATATTACTCAGCACTAAAAAGAAATGGGCTAGCAAGCCATGAAAATATAGGAACAAAACTTCAATGTATATTACCAAGTGAAAGAAACCCATCTGGAAAAGCTACTGTTTGATTCCAATAACACAATGTTCTAGAAAAGGTAAAATGATGGGGATGGTAAAAAGATCAGTGGTTGGCTGAGTTGGGGAAGGGAATGATGAACTGATGGAGCCCAGAGGATTTCTAGGCCATTGAAAAGGCTCTGTACGATAGTATCATGATGGAAATACCATATCATTATACATTTGTCCAATCGCATAGAACATACAACACCAACAGTGAACCATTATGCAAATTATGAGCTTTAGGTGAATCAGTGTAGGTTAATCAATTGTAGTAAATTTTCCCCTCTGGTGGGGGATGCTGATAATAAGGGAGGCTCTACATATAGAAGCAGTGGGTATGCAGGAAATCTGCATACCTAATTTTTTTTTAAAGATTTTATTTATTTATTTGACAGAGATCACAAGTAGGCAGAGAGGCAGGGGGGAGAAGCAGTCTCCCTGCTGAGCAGAGAGCCCAATGTGGGACTCGATCCCAGGACCCTGAGATCATGACCTGAGCCGAAGGCAGCGGCTTAACCCACTGAGCCACCCAGACGCCCTGCATACTTAATTTTTCTGTGATCCTAAAACTACTCTGAAAAAGTAAGCTTTTAACAATCAATTAATAGGCACTCTATTTGGGACGTGTTCTATGTTATTTTCACATTATTTCTCCTATTTTTTTAATTATAAAAATTTTTACAAAGAACTCATTACTTTTACAATAGAAAAAAATGTAAGGCTATTTAATATAACTTGAAACAAATTCATTATATACCATCTTATGTGGGTGGGGTAGTGGTGAATCAGTGTATGGAGAGGGTGGAATTAGCCTTATTTGAAATCGAGTGCTCTGAAAAACTCAATTTTTTAGTATTCACCAAGCAATTAAAATACTCAGCTTGAACATACACAATGATAAATTAAGTATATTATTTTGGCCAAGTTCAAGCTACCCAAATTGAAACATTCTTTGTAAAGCCAAAATTCTGAAATGAAAGTAAAAATGAAATTATACTTTTACTGTAATTAGTTTTAAAATGCAACTTCACAATGTATTCCTATGGAACAAAGTGATTCTAACCAAAGGGTTGCTGATGACTCTCTAGACCCTAAAAAGAAATAGTCCAGATACAGAGAGAAGTTTCTCTTAGCTCCATTGCACAGATAGGAAGACTGAAGTCCAAAGAAGTCAAGAAAGTTGCTGCAAGTCCTCCAGCTAGTAAATAGCAAGACCATAATGGAAATCTGGGGCTGTTAGTCTTCAACAATATCTTTTTGTTGTTGTTGTTTCTCTTTGTTAATTGCTTCTGCTAGCTTTAGATTTCATGGCAATATGAAGATGTACTTTCTTCTGTTACTGCACCAGACTCTGGGATAGGAACTGGGTCCTTAGGAGCTTTGGTGTTGAGTGAGTGGACATGACATATACTATTTGTGGACAGCCAAGATAATATGACTTATGAGCTAAAAATAAAGGGCATATCCAGTGCTATGGAAACAGAAGGCTGAAACACTATATTGTCTATGAGTGTGGGACGAATGCTTTCATGAATAAACATAGAATGTGTTATTGCTTTGAAGACACACCTCATGCCTTATGTCTCAGCCTACAGTGCCCAGGCTCTTCCTCTCTCCACTCCAGGGCCCTACACCCCTCTCTCCTTATTCATCACGGCATTAATGACCTACATTTCATTCCCTCAAATGTCTAGCTAATCTAGTGACTTACTTAGTCAAGTGTTGATGACATAGGTTACCTCCAAGAAAGTACATCTCCATATTGCCATGAAATCTAAAGCTAACAGAAGCAATTGACAAAGAGAAACAAACAAGCAAACAAAAATATTTTTGAAGCCTAACAGCCCTGGGTTTCTGTTATGGCCTTGCTATTTACTAGCTGGAGGACTTGCAGCAACTTTCTTGACTGCTCAGGGCTTCATTCTTCCTATCTGTGCAATGGAGCTAAAAGAAGCTCACCTTACAAAGTCATGGTGAGAATTACATGAGTATACCTGGAAATGTAGAATCACTCATCCACCCCCCCTCCACCCATTATTAATCCAAAAGTATTACTACAGTGGTAAAGATTTGTGCATTACAGTACAAAGATGATACGAAGAACATGGTTTGATTTGGTGTCTGTCATATTACACCGAGTGGGTATGCATCCAAGCCTATATCATCACTTGCCACATTCTTAAAATAGCGCCTCATAACTGTCCTCCGTGATTCAACGTTTGCTACTTCCCTCTGACCCATTCTTTCATCCTCATAAAACATAAGTAACATCACACATCGCCCTCATTAAAGCCCTTCAGTGAACCACCTTTACACTAAGAATTAAAATCTCTCTCTGAGACCTCTCAAGATCTGCCTTTCCTGCTTTCCTACCTCATCTTTTCTTCCCTCCCCAGCCATCACTCCCCTTTATGTACTATGTACTTTCAACGTGTGTGCATGTGCAATGTGGGGGTTAGTTCGGGTAACATACGCAGAGCACATATCAGGAGCCCTATAATGGTGCAAACTTTTTTTTTCCCCCACGTGTGAACTTACTTAATTTCAATCAACCTATGAAGAACATACTATTATTATTCCAATTTTGCAAATGAAGAATCTATGGTTCAAAGTGGTGAAGAGTAGCATGAAGTTAGCAAGTGGCAGAGCCCAGATTCCAGCCTGTCCCATCCCACTAAACCTGTTCTGCTTGTGCTGAGCCCTTCCACGAGGGCTGCCCCTCTTTCGCTTCAGGCTCTGATACTCAGTTGTCAGGCAGGTGGTTGGTCTTTCTTAACAGGTTCCTCCCATCAGCTAGTCTCCCCTGAACACCCTGCTACTTCCTTCGTAATTCACTTCCCAACTGCAATTTGATTCTTGGTTGTTTCCCGATGTGCTTCTAGTCCAGCTCTCCAGCATGACAGGGCATCCCATGAGGGCTGGGGCCAGATGTGTATTAATCACCTCATTAATTCAGAGCCCAGCACTGGGCCCAGAACACTATGCTGTCCAGAAACACCTGTGAAATGACTTAGTGACCCAGTAAGGAACTTGTGCTCAAAGGTAATACTGCTGATTGTCCCCTGACTTCCTGTCACATCACCTGCCCCCACTTTTTAAGAGCCTGGCTGCAGAATCACACTCAGTGTGTTCGTTTGCCTGGAGGCACACGCTCAGCCACCTGGGATATAAAGCCCACATAATCCACATACACATGCTCACCGGTGCAGAGGTGAGAGGCCTCCTTTAGAAAGCACAGAATTGGCCTTGTGGAGAGTGGAAGCTTTCCTCTGAAGACTACCAACAGCTAATGAGAGAAAAACTTCACCACCGTCAGTGAACTCAGGCAAACACCCTGAACCTGTGCAATATGGGGTCACACCCAAAATGCATCAACCATATCCCAGAAGGAGAAACAGGTGGTTAAAAAGATAACCAAAAAAAAAAAAAAAAAAAAGGTTTATAGAAGAATTAAACCTCCCCCAGCCGAATACTTAATACTCCCGGCATGGAGCCGTATGAAACACCCAGCATTCCCAACTTCATTTGGACAAGCAGATCTCAAATCAATATAATGAAGTCTCGTATTTTTAAACTGTGGTTGTTAAGAAAAACAGTTATATTATATGCTGCTTTTTCCTTTTTAGATCTTATTGTAACCACTTTGTCCTGACTCTCTCATTCAGCACT